TGGTCACCTCAGTCTTCCTTTACCTTGGTGGAATCTGATTCCACGCAAACAGATAATGCGTCTGTGGCGCGTTAGGGCGAAAAGATGAGAGGTGAGTTTTCACGCAGCTGTACCCTAAGCCCTTTGATAACCCCCAAAGTCGTCCCAATTTCTTGCTTCTATTATGAAGGGAGGACTCATCCGATGTTGTTTAGCAATTATCAAAACATAAAGGATCGGGTCAAAGTCAATTATCCGCCCCCTAGCTTCCGATCGATTTCCTACCTTCTAGTAAAGAGGTCCCACGCTAAGCGCACTACTCCCATGCAAGGAGCTGAAAGCCTTTTGGAATCCATCCCAGATCCACGACAAACACACAAGTGGAATGCTCTCCTTTATTTCACCATGCCGCATATCTTTATAAGCTCAGCCCAGGGAGAAATGGAATTCCGCCTTGACCCTTGTCTAGTACCAAAAGAATTCTTCGCAGCGGGGGGAATCCACTTGCTTTGTCAGCTAATTCGTATAAGTAGTGCCGTCTTCGGTTCGGATAGACAACAATGAAAGAGAAAGACGGACTTACGAGCAAGAGCACAGAAGCAAGATAGATTCTTCCACCCACTCTAAATGGAGCGAAGTGAGTAGCGTGTATAATCCGTCCTTGCTTTCAAAGGTTTATAGATAGGCCCTCTCTCTCTACCTTTTACTACCTTTGATATTCGTATATGCTGAGAGGAATCCGTAGGTTTGGTTTGCCTTACTAATGTCAATATCGTTTTTATTTGAAGAAATGCCCTAAGCTCTTATTTCCTATGGTAAGACAAAAGACTATCCCCTTGATTTCCCACTCCGACTGAGGAATCGAGCATCAAGCAAGAGAGCAAGATAGCTGCCACGAAGCTTACCCGGTCCACTGCGAAGGCCCTCCTCTGCTAGCGACTACTAGAGATCAGTTCACTTGCATTCTTCCTTAAAACAGGGCCGCATCTGTGATCTGGTAGGAGAGATAGAATAAGGTACAACCCAGGGTCTAAGGATACTAAGGTCAGTCAACTAATTCATAATGGAAAGAAAGTGTCTCCCCCTCCAACTGAAGCAGACATGATCAATAGTGACGATATCCCACGAGCAGAATGAATGAAGGCAATCCTGGAATCGATGGAAAGAAGATGAAGACACTGGTACAGGTACAGGGACTGGAACTTGGTAGGCGGAGCACCCCAACTGCCTCACTTTACCCAGTATCAATCATTCTTATCCTACTGATCCTACTGGCAATAGCTTTAGCGCGAACTCCTCACTTTATGACTCTAAACTCACCACTCAAGTCTTAGGCTCCATAATCTTGTTTGATCGACTGAGACCTACCCTTTGCCTTTCGTATCCTTAGGTTTCTTTGTC